CTCCTTTCTCTCTCCCCTTCCAGAAACTGTTCCAGAGGAGAAGGTGTTCAAAATGCTGATCGGGCCTTTTGCGTATGACGTGGGTCTTGTCAACATCACCTTCGGCGATGAGATCCTGTCTGTCCATGACTGCAATAAGCGAGGCTTCAACGTGCAGGAGCGCCGCTCACAGAGCAGCGGACTAAAGTTCATTTCGCTCAAAGTTCCCTTTGCGGACCGCGTCGTCCAACAGATGGTCAGCCACATGCTCTTATACAGTGAAAATTTGGGGGGGGAAAAAAAACCAAATTTTAATTGTAACTTCTTATACCAGACAGAAGCAGAGGTTACGGTCTACTCGCTGCGCTTGACTTTCGGCCTGGCGGTCTTGCACAAGTTCATGCCATTTTGTCACACTGCTCATTTGGAAGCTAAATTGGCTGAAGTAGGTGAGTGAATTGTGTTAAAAATGATCAAGCATAACTTCCCTTTATAGTTACTATTCTATAGGCGGAGTACTACTAATGTGGGCTCTGGTGATATGGCCAAAAATCACATCACTCTTTAATCCCTTCATGGTGTACAGTGCAATTATAATAAAAGCATTTCTGAGTTGGTTGTTGTTCTTGAGCTCAGAAGTGAGGTTAATGACAATATAATTTTGAGAACATTTGCCATAGTGTGCAGTGGATATTTTAAAAATGCACGTTAATCTGATGAGTGACCAGAGTAATTTCGCTCCACTCAAAATCTGTGGATGCCAACAAATGTCATCTAATGTTAATTGTTAGAATAAGCACACAGTTTTCTCACTATAAACCATATAGTAAATCTATTTCCAGTTCCAAGGCCACCCTTAGGCCAAGCATTCGCTACTGGTGGCTGCGATGCCACGAACTTCTACATTCTTGTGCAATTCGGAGCAGAAGGCCACAACTTCCACACTCGATTGGGAGCACGCGCTTTGACCCACAGCCTGGCTCTGGAGTACAGCTTCACCACCAACGGAACGCACTTCAGCATAGTGGTTCCGCTTTCATCTCATGATGTTGTCTACGAGGTACGTACAGAACCTGAATTGATTTTTACACCTTTAACATGAGTATTGGGTCACAAAGTTGGAAGACATATATGATTAAGAGTTGTTCCAAAACGTATCCAGTAAGTGTGTTTTTTTTTTTTTTGTTTCCCCCCCCAAGGCTATTGAGGGATCATCTATACGGAGCAGACTTGACATAACTTTGATAAATCCAGAGACCAACCTCAACATAAATGACTTCACTCTGACTTGTCGCTTTCCTTCAACGCTAACAGGTTTGTTTTGAACACTGAAGCTTTTGTGGTAGAGTTGAACCCGTGGCGATTGTTTAAAATGACTCCACACATGATGGAGAAATTGGCAAAAATGTTCAAGTTTATGTAAAGTATTACATTTTACAATTTAGTCCTGACACTTTTCCGTTGTAGCTTTATCTTGTAACATTGATTGCAAACTTTTTGTTTTGTTTTAATATGCTCGTCCCTTGCTTCAGCCGCTAAACATCGTTGACACAGTTACCGTTGTTTCAGAATGTTTACCCAACGGCACCATGACGGCGCTTGCGATCAAACTGGAGTCGGTCCCCAGCCTGAACCCCAGTGAGCTGACCCTGCTTGACCCGACCTGTGGGCCGGTCTACAGCAACAAACGCTTCGCCTATTTTGTCTTCACTGGCAACACCTGCGGGACCACCAGGAAGGTAAGATCCTGACTCACCCCTACCGCAGAACACTGATCTGAGTTCTTTCTGTGCTCCCTCAAAGTTCGTGTCAAATTCGATGCTCTATGAGAATGAAATCTCCTTGCCACGTCAAGCTGAACTGCCTACCAATAATGCCTCGCATGAAGAACCAGAATATGAGTAAGTTGCAAGACACACCTCTTTAATTTGAGTGAATTGTATTATACAACATTGGAATATTCTATACTGCAACCCTCATGCACATGAAATTGACTTATGGGTAGCTTTGCGGTAACCTTGACTGGTGCACAACATGTTAAAGCTTGCCAAAGTGACCATTAAGAAAAATTACAACCTGAAGTCATTAAAACCGGATGCATTTTAGGTCATTGTAAATATAAAAAGCTGAAGATCACTTCACGGGTAAGCAGTTGACTGTCTCCCCAACCCCCGTTTTTTCTCCCCTTCAAGCTTAAGGATTTCATGTTACTATGACGTCAACACGAGTCGCTCCGTGACCTTTCACACCAGACCTCGCAGGAGTGATCCGTATGCAGAAAACGGAAGAGGCGCGCTGCAAGTGGTGCTGCGGCTTGCTATTGGTATGCGGCCACTCATTCAAGCTTGGAATAAGAAAAATTCTTGGCAATGTCAAATTAGATTCTCCTCGGATTGTTTGAAGCGATCAAATGATGATGCGCTTTGGCAAGTTAAAGCGACCGCCGCACTTTAGTGGCCTATCTGCGGTCGCATTGAACTTGTCTATAAATGGTGAATATACAAGACAGCAACTACACTCGAGTAGCACTGAAAGCAAATCTCTGCCAAACAGTCTTGGACATGTCACTGCAACATTTGGTCCTGATGCAAGTGGAGTGTCACTGTCAAGTGAACATGGTGTATCCATGAAGAAGCATACTTGTGATCGTCAAATGTTTAATTTTGCTTATTGGTAATTTAAGAATGAACCACTTGGCTGATGCTTTATGAACTTGAAATCGGGATACAAGAGGCAATCTTTAAATACAAATCACTTGATCTCATGCTTTATGTAAAAAAGAGTTATCCATAAATAATCTTTGTTGCTTGCCAACATGATCTCTTACTTTGTATGACAGATGAATCCTACAGTGCATTTTATGGCTCCGCCAACTACCCCGTCTCAAAGTACCTGCAACAGCCGTTGTATTTTGAGGTGGCGCTCCTGAGATCGACCAACCCCAAAGTGTCACTTGAGCTGGAGTCCTGCTGGGCCACGGTCGACATGGACAGAAGATCCCAGCCCCGATGGAATCTGATCATAAATGGGTATAAAAGATTTAAAGCTGGTAGATCTGCTCGGGTTGTTGGAATGGGCCACTGTTTATGAATCTTGTGCTCGACAGCTGTCCAAACCCAGTCGACCCAAACCAGGTCGTCTTCCATCCGGTGTGGAAAAATGGCGGAGTGGAGTATCCATCCCATGTAAAGCGCTTTGAGGTCAACATGTTTGCCTTTGCTCAAGACCAGGATAACTTGACTAAGCAGGTAATGTTTTTTTTTCTTTTAATTCCCCCTCACAGAATGCAGAATTCATTGACTTACCAGTTTGTCATTGCAGCTCTATATCCACTGCGATGTGGTGATTTGTGACTCCCGAATTCGCCTGAGTGACGCATGTAAGAAGAGGTTGTGTTACAGCCAAGACAACAGGATGAAAGGTGGGGCCACAATTTTTATTTTTATGTATTTTTTTTTTTTTTTTAAACTTGAATATCTGTTCTAGTTCAAAAGAGAGCTGCTCCAAATGTGCGAGACGTCACATCAGTGTCTTCTGGATGCATCTATCTAAATTAATAATAAAAGTGACTTTTAAACATGACATTGCAGTGGTGGCCTTGTTCTATATCAAACTCCTTGATCATTTTTTTTTCTTCCCCCTCCCCTTTAATGGAGGAACAAAGTTCCTCTGTAAATTACCTTCAAGGAGGATTAAGTTTTATTGGTGTCAGGCTGACAAAAAGCCCCCCTCATAGAGTTAATATTTATTAGCCAACATGTTAATACATGTTAATTGTATGACACTTATGGTTTTATATTAGCCATTATGCTCGACACTGGCTTGTATTAAATATGCATGATGCATATGAATCAGAAAATTGCATCACATTTAGTCAGCATATAGGATAAAGCAGTAATGGGAGAAACCTTTTGTCTTGCATATTCTCTCTGTGCTTGAATGTAACCTGTCTACACACACACCTGCATCCATGTATGACAATGATATCAACATGGGAAAAGGTTTCATACAGTTACATGAACAAGGATAAAAAGTACCGGTATGCGCAGAGATGTAAATGGCACAAGATTCAGCATGATCACAATCGCAAAGATTAGGTTACGTTAAGAGGAACTGAAGTATCATCTGAGGACTGGAGTTTGGGTGCAAATGCCAGCAGGACCAAAGCAGTGTTTGTTTCATCTGGCCCGTGTTTAGCATCGTACACACCATGTCACCAAAGAGCATGCTGACTGATTCCAATTTTGAAGACACCTATATGCTTATTAGATGACAGCTTGGTTAAATAAGCCTTATGGCAGTGCTTCCATTTTCTGTTAACCACCCACCCAGGAACAAAAGCATTTTCCACCTTACAAAGGGGGAAAAAAATAGCACTTATGAAAAGAAAAAAAAAAAATTGAAATATACCGGTGTATATATATATATGTGCCAGAAATAAACACATGCCCCTACTTTAATGGTATACTATTCTATTACTGCAATTAAAAAGCATGGTACACCCACTGTCAAATTTTCAAACTTTCCTAAGGTTCAATGGTTTTTTTTGTGCAGGCCCATTTCATGAGTTTAATTCAGTGGTTCTTCACCTTGTTAGAGGTACCGAACCCAACCAGTTCATATGCACATTCACCAAACCCTTGTGAATTTTACAAATTCAACATTAAATGCATTTAAAAACAATACAAATTCAAGACAATTTTTATGGTAGAGGCTCCATCAAACCCAGGTTAACCACTGGTTTAATTGTTGCACCACAATTGAAAAGCACTGATTTTTGTAGGTTAAACATTTGCCATATTCCTTTATTAATTTTGTCTATGTAATCACTGCAAAGTTTTGACTGAATTCTCATGCACATTTTTAACTTCATGAAGCACATTCCACTCAAGTTAGACAATTAGACTTTAGTTTATCTAGTCGTGGGAAAAAAAAAAAAAATTGTGACAAGCATGCTCACTATTTTGTACCAACTGGAATCCATTGCAGTCCCATGAAGAAAATAGAGCATTGCGATACAACTTTGTTTAAGAATCTTTATTTAGAGCTAAAGAGGTGAACAGGACCAGTTGAGATCCTCCTTGGCTGTCTCGAGTCTGCGCTTTGTGCTGGGAAGAGATTAACGGTTAGTAAATGTCATGGAATCATTCAATCGATCAAGGCTCACTTTTCAATCCTTTGATCCCTTGGAATCCAGAAATGCCAGGACTGCGACGTGGACACTGACCTCTGCAGATATCTTCTGATGTGTCGTTTATGTCACATACCATTGCTTTACAGTGGATGTAGATCTAAAATTTAAAACTACATTAGTATGCTGTACAGGATGGTTTTAATCTAGAAGCTGTAAAAACCTTGTACCTCATCTTTAAGAATCACATCATCTTTGGTAAAGGTGAACATGTTTATAGAGAAACGCTTGAAGTGGGATGGGATGTTGACCCTGGCATCAGCCGTGACAGGATGGAAGAGTGTAACATGGCTGTCCTCTTTGTTCTCACAACTGTCGATTCAAAAATTGGCATTAAATGAGTAGGGAGCACAATGAATTAAAAAACAAATAAAAATCGTACGTGTTCACAATGACATCCCAACTGGGCTGAGAACTTGAGTCTTCATAAGCAGTGGCCCAGCAGCTTTCCAAGATGAGCTCCAGTGAAGGATCATTAGAACGAGTCAGCGCCACCTCAAAGTACAGAGGCTGCCTGAGGTATGTCACTACTGGGTAATCTTCAGCTTGGTAGAAGTAACTATAGGAGGAGTCTGAAGCAGAAAACCAAATTAGTCATTGTCTTAAACATTTTTGGCCGAGTATTCTTACCCTGAGCCAGCCTCATTTGGACATCAAGTTGTCCAATTCCAATCTCAGCTGAGGGGTAAGTGCTGTGGGATTTGTAGCCGAACTTAACAGTCCGAGTGTCATTTATCATGTAGTAGCAGGACACAGTTTGCCTATGTAGAAGTGAAGGATGCAGCTGAGGTAATAATTCATTATATATGATGATAGACCATCAGGGTGAAGACTTGCCTATACTCAGGATCATTAGGTGATGCGTAGGTATTGCCTCTGTTGGTATAATAGTGGCCAATCTCATTCTGGTAAATCATGTAGTTGTCAAAGAACTGGAGGAAAAAGAAAATTACCACTTTTAACCTTTCATCCAAAGTTTTATATTTAAAAACAACAACTTACAGTTCTTGTGGTTCCACAGCTATCGACGCCGAATGAGAAATAGGCGAAGCGGTCATCACTGAAGAATGGCTTACAGGACTTGTCCTTGAGGGTGAGCCAACCGGGGATGAGGTTGGGAACAGACTCCACTTTGGCAGCCAGAGCCGTTATTGTTCCATTGGGATAGCACACTGAGGACAGGAGGCAAGAATGTCACCAAGTTCTGCCAACTTTTCCACTGCATTCAGGTTTGCCTTCTTGACATTTATATTTAAAAATAAACCCACATTCAAGTCATGTTAGCCCATGTATGAAATTATCAGCCTGTCATTTGATACATTTCTAGTTTCAAAAGAAAGCATTTCTTACTTGTAGTTCTCAAGGGGAAGTTGCAAGACAGGAAGAAATCAGCAAGCATCCAATTATTGGTCATCTCCACTGCATTCAGGTTTGCCTTCTTGACATTTATATTTAAAAATAAACCCACATTCAAGTCATGTTAGCCCATGTATGAAATTATCAGCCTGTCATTTGATACATTTCCATTTTCAAAAGAAAGCATTTCTTACTTGTAGTTCTCAAGGGGAAGTTGCAAGACAGGAAGAAATCAGCAAGCATCCAATTATTGGTCATCTCCCAAAGTAGTATGTCAAGTCTTGCCCTGATTGAATCAGCGGTTATGCGCTGCGTGGTGGGGAGGGAAAAAAAACAAAAAAAAAAGTTAAAGGCAGTTCCAAGTCATTGGTTATATTCCTAAACTCTACCTCAAATGCCGTCTGTTTGGCAGTAAAAGGAACCACAAGGGTAAGGTGGGTCTCATTCTCTTGCAATCTGAACTCTTGTTCCAGCTCAGGGGTCAGTGGCTTGTATTCAATCAGAGTCTCAAAGTTTTTGCCTTGATTTCCAAATGTCACTTCAATGTAGAACAAATGCTGATCACAAGTGCCTTTGATGGTGGGGAGTACTTAAGGCGAAGAAAGAAAAAAAAAAAATTAACCATGTTATAAATGCAAGGCTGTGTTCAAATGTGGTACACATCTTACCAACATCCTGCAGAGAGGCAGTAAATTCCACGGGATGAGCAAAAGCCGTTTCTTCTGGATGAATCAAGAACCCAAAGACGAGAGCAAGTGTGTAGGTTGTCACCAAGGGCTCGGGATTCTACAGATTGATGAGAATCTGGTTTCATTTACACGCGTCACTATTGCAGAAACGCCAAGTAGGTCACATACATGTTTGAGGACTTCAGTGGCAACAAAGGGAACTTTCAGAGAGAAGCTCTTCAGACCACCAGGATGTCTGTGCTCTTGTACAATGAAGCCTTTTGCGACGCACTCTTCCAGAGTGGATGTGCCAGTAGAGAACGTGATGTTCTTCAGCTCCACATCATCCAGGAAGGTGCCCACGTGGATGCCGAACAATCTCTCCTCTGCATTAGTAACTAAAAAGTGTCAGTTGTCAAGAGGATACCCTTAACAGAACCCTAATGAAACATTTAACCTTCAGGTCAACTTGACTTACAGTCAACAGCTTGGGGTGGCCTGGGCATAAGAGGTGTGGTGATGGGGAACAGGATTTTATATCTGGTATCTTCATGGCTTCGCTCAGCCCGCCACATGACTTCAAGCATGGGCTCGACTGTGTAGGTGATGTGGTACTGGTAATCTGGGGCATGGCTCTGTAATTATGTATGGCAGTTTTAAATAAGTCATGTCGGTGGACAAGCCGCATACCAAACGCTCACCTTGTTGTAGCCATCAGGAGAACCCACGGGGATCTCAACGACAATGTGGAAGTCTGTAGCGGACAAAGCGTAGCCACGTGCGGCCATCTGACGCCGATCCAGACGCTGTCCATTGATGCCCATGTACATCTCTAGAATCTTCACGCTGCCGTCCTGAAGGGGAGTCACACGGCGGGGGACGTGCCAAGAAATCACGTCTTCAGTAAAGAGGACGCCACCTGTCAGAAAAAAAAAAAAAAAAAAAAAAAAAAAAAAAATGG